TTTCGGCATTTTCAGGGGCTTGGAAATGGGCATCTAACCTTGACCAATGAATTTTAAATGGCTTATGTAAGACTCTTAATTGGGCATCACAAACATGGGCTTCAAAGACTGAATCTTGCATATCTGACTTAGTGGGTGACTCTGGTTGTATTGGCTCAGGAGGTGCAGTAGGGGCTTTGTTATAACTTGGTTGAACTACTTGCTTGGCCTTTCTTAATTCATTAATTTTAAAATCAATTAAGGCTTTATCGGCTTCTAAATCTCTTTCTGTAATTGAAGATGATTCTGCAGACGAATGTCTTGCTGGAAACTTAAAAGATTGACTAGGCGTAGGTAACTATTCTAATTGTACTGTGGACTTGACTGGCCTATCAAAACTAATTTTAACCGTACCATCTAAATAAGGCTGAATATAATCTAAATCATTTAAACTACGTTGGACTGGCTTAGGGGGGCTTTCAGTGGTTAAAAACCATTCTTTAGGTAAATTGACATCTGACCACCTAATCATTTTGGGAACTGTAATATTAGCATTTTGGGTATGACTCTATAAATTAAAGCTAAAGGTTGGGTACCTGGTAAAACATTATAACCGCGTGTTTTAATGGTTAAAGTTAAAACTTTCAAAATATGCGGATCACTAAGGCTTATAGTAAAATCTGGATAACAATCAAAATGTACTGGACCATGACATAGACTTGACTCAATGATTCCTAAAACTCCTTCTTCAAAATCTTTAAATCTAGCATCTCTTAAACTTAATAAAATTGTAGACTTAAGTCCTAATTTAGTTAAGGGCTTAACAACGACTTGAACTAATCCTATATGTAGAAAATTATTGCCTTCTTGCCTATGTTTCGTAATTGCATCAAGATTAAGTAATTGGCATGTTTCATGTTCTTTTCCTAAGGCATAGACTTGTTCTACTGTCTTAATATGCGTAGTTTGCTTAAATGCATTAATTGACCATTTTTGCTTATAAATTTCCTTATTAGGGACTTTAGGTATATTCCAATCATTACAATTTAATTCTGAACTAGACGACTCAAATTCTAAAACTTCTTCATTAACTATATCTGGAACTGGTTCCAAACAGGTTCTAGAACTAGAAGAATTAATTGAATTGGTTCTAAATAAACGACTCATTTTGCTTACGTGGAAAATCTAAATTAACTAAATTAGAAAGACTCTTACATGACTTCCAAAATAGAAAGACTCTTGGGTAACTCCTAAGACTGACTCTAAGGTACCTAAGAACCTATGGGCTACTCTCTCTCTCACCTTCTCGTGCCTAACCGCTCATGCCTCTACCTGGGACTTACTGTTTGGTAAAAAGGTCTCACCTTACGGACTTTTGAGAGATAGAACCTAAGGAACTAGATAACTAAGAATAGACTTAGAAGAAACTTTGGAGACTTACTAAATTAAAAGAAACTTGGGAGACTTGCTAACTCAGAAAACTTAAATCAGCCTATATATATATATTATAATTTTGAATTGATTTGACGATTATATCGTTGAGTTTATCAAAGGGACTATTTAACCTATATATATATATAATAATATAAGTTATTTTTTATTACTTTTTGGTTTGGAGGCCACGTGGATGCCTCTTGTATTGTCTGGTTGGTGTTAAAAAAAGGAGTCACTTCTCTCAATTTTGTATTGTTCGTTGTTTTTTTTATAGTAAATTGAGCTTAAACCCATAAAATTCATTTTAAATCACCTACAACCCTTTCTTTTAGTTTTCTATTTAAAATACCCAAAATTTTCAAATAATACCCGATGACTAGGATCCAACTAAGCAAGTTACCTAATATAACTTAAAATCTGATTTATTGTATTTTTCGGACCTATATATATATATATTAATATAAGTTATTTTTTATTACTTTTTGGTTTGGAGGCCACGTGGATGCCTCTTGTATTGTCTGGTTGGTGTTAAAAAAAGGAGTCACTTCTCTCAATTTTGTATTGTTCGTTGTTTTTTTTATTACTTTTTCCTTTGCTTCTGTTTTTGTTTTTGGTCAATTACTTCTTCATTTTGTGGTTTTCCCAGTTCACTCTCTCTCTCTCTTCTAGGTGCCATGAGAGGAGGGGGAATCCACCACCACTATGGTGGGAACCATTCTTTTCTTCTCTTTAGTTCTGCTTCCGATTTACAGGTTCGCATCCAGATCTGCAAGTGCAACAAAGCTTTTGTGTTTATGACCCTGTTTAAATTTTTTGGATATGCTACTGCTACGAAGTGTACTTTTCTTTGTGTTTCTTCTTCCCACAGTTTTAGTTTATGATTCCCACTTGGTTCTCACTGTATCAATTAGCATACCAATAAATAATTTGATTCTCATTGTTTATATAGATCTCCCATACAAAAATAAAATAAAATTTTAGCACATCCCCAGGAAAATTTTTGGTTCCGCCATTGCTAGTCACACATGATAGATTTGATTGAAAAAAAAAAAAGGTACATATAAGATGCATGTACAATTCATTCAATCATTATTAAAACAAGAAATAAATGGATTATGTTATGTGAAACAATTGAGTAATTAAAATTTGGGGCAGGACATGACGCGACTGCGGATGACTTCCATCAGCATCAGCCGTTCTTCAATGCTGTGAGGAGTGGGGATTGGAATAAAGCAAAGGAGTTTCTTACCCTACATCCCAATGCAATAAGAACAAGAATTCCATACACAAAAAAGACAGCTCTTTACATGGCAATAGAATTACAGCACGAGCATATTGTGGAAGGGTTGGTGGATTTGATGACAGAGGAAGACTTGGAAATAAAAGCTCTTGGTTGGACTGCTCTTGCTGTTGCTGCAAATAGAGGAAATCTCAAAATGGTTGAATGCATGGTTGAAAAAAGCAAGAACATACTTAGTATTGCCATTGAGGAAGGCAATATGACTCCAATTCTCTTGGCGTGTCTCAATGAACATTGGGAAATCGTTCATTATCTCTACTCCGTCACTCCACTTGAAGATCTAATGCCAGAGAAAGGCCCGTACGGCGCTGGACTTCTTTGCCATTCCATGTTTGTGAGAAAATTTGGTATAAGTTTTAACTTAATTATGACAACCAAGTTGATTAAGCTTTTCCCATTATAACACTTCTGTTCTCTACTACAGATATTGCACAGGAATTAATTCAGCGTTGCCCACAATTGGTCCGTACTAAAGACCCCCATGGGGTATTCCCCATACATGCATTTGCATTGATGCCTACTGAATTCCCAAGTGGAACATGTTGTGTAGATACAGCTGCACCAAAATGGATTCAGTTGCATCCTCAACTTGTGATACTCGCAAGTGCACGAGCCGTTCGGTAGTATAGCGTATGTAAGTGCGAGGTCGATCCCACGAGGATTGGTGATTGAATGATTCCATTCATTTCTCCTACACAAAACAGAAATGAAAAAAAAAGAAATAAATAAAACAAGAAAAAGGAAATACCTCAAGAAAATAAGTTCCCAAGTTCAATTAGATTAATGGATTGATTCTAGCTAAAGTATGATTAAGCCATGGTGTGTGGTCATAACCTTGTGTTCCTAATTCCCTAATTTGATCATTTGTTGTCTAACCTAAAATTAAGCATTAGAAACCCATTAAGCATAGAAGAACAATTTAAACAACCAAGCATGTATCTAATCCCTGTTGTCGAATGTCCATACATACTCTTCCTATTCATAGTTCAATTCGAATTAAACTATGGTGTCTACTCTTAATTCAAACCAAGATAGCTAACATGCAAGCCTAAATGGTGATCAATCATTCAAACTAGCATATTAACTTATAAGCATAATGAATAAGAACATGAACCATAATTGAAACTTGGAAACTAATCAAACACTTCTCTAGAGCTCCCTTCCCTTCACTCCCTCAAATTCTCTTAGTTTCTCTTTCTAGCCTTCAATTGTTATAATGAAATATTTGTGCTGAAATTTTCCTTAAGTTTTTCTTAGTTCCACTTTACTTTTCATTATGTAAATTCTTTTCTTTAGTTTCAAGTTTGATTAATTTCCAAGTTTCAATTATGGTTCATGTTCTTATTCATTATGCTTATAAGTTAATATGCTAGTTTGAATGATTGATCACCATTAAGGCTTGCATGCTAGCTATCTTGGTTTGAATTAAGAGTATACACCATGCTTTAATTCGAATTGAACTATGAATAGGAAAGGGCTCGTTTTGGGCTTGTTTCTCCATCCATAAAATTCTGCAAAAATATGGATCTTGAAGATCTTTGAATTATCTTTCCAAGCATATGCAGCCCAACTCAAGGAAAAATCCGGAAGGCCTTCAAATGTCATTTTTGGCCCAGTAACGCAGATGCTGCCGAATTTGACCTTAAGCTGCCAAAACTTGCATAACTTCGTCTAGAAGACTCGGAATCATGAACCGTAAAATTCTCCAGAAACTAGACTTCCGCATCTTTCGAATGATATATGGCTCATCATCTGGTTCTTCTTGAGTAAGCTAATCCGAAGTTGACTGATCTGCAGACATCGTTTTGAACTAATTTGTCTCCAAAATGCAATTAGTGAGTCTCAAGCTTATTACACTGAAATAAACACAAAATTTATTAAAAGCACAAGTTTAACTCAAAAACATAACCAAATCATAAGTTAGAAGGGTACAAAATGATATGTAAATATGCACCGATCAGTGTGGGAATCCATCATGATGTTCCTCCCTCTTAGCCCTATAAATAGAGAAAGGCTTCAAAGCTTCACGACACACCCCAAGGGGGCGAGCTCTCAAACACTTCTCTAGAGCTCCCTTCCCTTCTCTCCCTCAAATTCTCTTAGTTTCCCTTCGTAGTTCTCAATAAATTTTTTTGGTTCCGCCATTGCTAGTCACACATGATAGATTTGATTGAATAAAAAAAAAGGTACATATAAGATGCATGTACAATTCATTCAATCATTATTAAAATAAGAAATAAATGGATTATGGTAGGTGAAACAATTGAGTAATTAAAATTTGGGGCAGGACATGACGCGACTGTGGATGACTTCCCTCAGCATCAGCCGTTCTTCAGAGGAGTGGGGATTGGAATAAAGCAAAGGAGTTTCTTACCCTACATCCCAATGCAATAAGAACAAGATTTCCATACACAAAAAAGACAGCTCTTTACATGGCAATAGAATTACAGCACGAGCATATTGTGGAAGGGTTGATGGAGTTGATGACAGAGGAAGACTTGGAAATAAAAGCTCTTGGTTGGACAGCTCTTGCTGTTGCTGCACATAGAGGAAATCTCAAAATGGTTGAATGCATGGTTAAAAAGAGCAAGAACATACTTAGTATTGCCATTGAGGAAGGCAATATGACTCCAATTCTCTTGGCTTGTCTCAATGAACATTGGGAAATCGTTCATTATCTCTACTCCGTCACTCCACTCGAAGATCTAATGCCAGAGAAAGGCCCGTACGGCGCTGGACTTCTTTGCCATTCCATGTTTGTGAGAAAATTTGGTATAAGTTTTAACTTAATTATGACAACCAAGTTGATTAAGCTTTTCCCATTATAACACTTCTGTTCTCTACTACAGATATTGCACAGGAATTAATTCAGAAGCCCAAAATGCTACAATATATTTATAATTTTCAATTTTTTTATTTAATTTTTTTAAAAGTTATATATATTTGTATATATATATATTTATTTTTAGGTTAAAATTTCTAATTAAAATTAAATATTAAAATAATTATTTTTTTGTCCGACAAAGCACCAAACATAGGTCTTCATTATTTTTACAATTCAGCTTCTTAGTCCGATGCAACACCAAACGTAAGTCAGTACTTAATCCAGCTTAGTCCAATCCTAGTTAATCCAAGATAGTCCCAGGATTTAGTCCGGTCCATGACAGTCCGCCGTACCAAACGACCCCAAGAGAAGAGGCATTATCAGGCGCCGACCTAAGAGTTGAAATGAAAATTTCTAATCTCTAAGTGGCCATTCTTATACCTAAATAACAAACATTGTCAATAAATATGATCCAAGTTTAAACAAATTGGACATATATAAGTAAGATTTCTTCGTGGTGTTCATGTGTTCTAATGAAGGTACGTCCAACTGAAAGAATCTATGAATGTTTCTATATACATAGCATATATACAAATCAATTATCACAAGAGATATTGGCAATAGTAAAAAAAGGTAGTTTAAATTATTTTGATTGAGGTCACTATCTTTTCTGAAAGGTATACACATAAAAACTACTCGTGCCATCGGTGATATTCATGTTAGTGTTCATAATGAAGCAAATGAAGGAGGTAATCGAACGGATATCACTTGGTCAGGTATGTTGCGACTCAAAGTCTAACTCTTGTTTTATTTAATAAACTTGAAATAATTTTTTCATATGTTATTTGTTAATTTGTTTTCTCAATAACAATAGTTGAGACTAACTACTGTTAATTAGCAAATGAGTAATTTTTATTTTTTTTTATCAAAAGAAGAATTTCATTGAACTTGCATCAACAATTATAATAGAATCAATTGGCGAAACGAAGGGATAAGAGTGGCCTCATTAAAACCTTGCCATATAAAATCTAGCAAATGAGTAATTAAATCAACTACAAACATACATAAAGAAATTAGCTAGACATAGTAAAAGGAAACATCACTAGAATTGAAGAAAGCATGAAAAATTATGGAAGATGTGGCTCCTGGAATTTGTAACAATCTCTCCTTGATGCAACAATGTGCTTCTGTCAATTCTAGTGGTGGTGGCTAGGTCTGCAATAATTTTGGGTATTTATAAGGAGCACCTCCTTTAGAATTAATTAGTGTTTCTAAAGGCTTTTATGAATCCGAAATATCCAAGGTTTTCCTAAAGTTTCTAAAAAGAGTGATGCTATTTTCACTCTCTAGATCCTATTTCTCCACCCACCTTATTTTCAAAATTTTAAAAGCAAATTTATAGAATGTTGATATATATTTTATTTTTGCAACTTGAATTATTAATTAGCATATATGATTTTTTTAAGTTGGACAATGTATTTGATTGTGTATTTATTTATATTTTGTACTTCTTTATGTTATATTTGCTTGTAATGTGGCCATGTTTGATTTATAAAATTTTATTTACA